ATGTGGGGTAATTTTATAATAAAATTCAAATGTACAAACACTCAACAAGAAACTTTAAGAGTTTCGTAAGAATTAGTTCAATCAAGCGCCAAAAAAAAAATTATTTTTTCAATTTCTTAAATTCCTGAAGTTCTATTGATGGAAAAATCAGTGAAATAAAATTTATTATTTAATTAATTTATTTATTTATTCTTTCTAGGTAAGGTAACAATGGGCTGACTTAATGCCTCTCGGCATTCTCTGTCAGTCAACCCGTATAAAAGATATTTATATAGTTTGAATTGTCATACGTTGGTACCTGTGGCCGTGGAAGGAAAATGGGAGATCTCCCGCCGGGCAAGGTGTTCTGCCCGGAGAGCGACCAACACTCCGTGTGATGATAGTTTGGAGATGTTCTATATATACTGTTTCTGATTCGGAATGTTGATATCGTGATTTAGGCTTCGGTGTATTTCGCTTGTGACGCGACGACAGCGCCGCCACATCACCCCCTGCTCAGACTGGAAGTCGATAGTGCAGTCTCGTTGTCGACGAATGTGCAAGTGCCAGGAGATTGCCTTGTAGTCTGCGGTGAGTCGAGAAGAAGGCAAGTAATCTGCGGGAGTGCCGTGAAGCAGAGGCGAGCAGTAATTCTCAGAGCCGTGCCGAACACTGTACGGCGCAGAGAGTAGCCTGAAGGAACAGGAAGCATTATTATTCCAGTGCTGCGATGAACCTTGTGAAGCTAGATGACTTGCAGGATATGAAGACTGCAGATGATATCTGCTCGGGAGCGAATGGGTGGGGTACTCTATGACGATGATGAAGCTTGAAGTTTCCGAAGGTTGTTGGTTGCGTGTTCAGATCACGTCGGGTGGTCACCACTGTGGCCGTGGAAGGAAAACTGCTCGTGGCCGATGAAGGAAAAGGGCAGATCTCCCGCCGGGCAAGGCGTTCTGCCCGGGGAACGGCCGACGCTCCGCGTAATAGTTCGGAGATGTTCTATATATACTGTTTCTGATTCGGAATGTTGATATCGTGATTTAGGCTTCGGTGTATTTTGCTTGTGGCGCAACGACAGCGCCGCCACATACCTATACCAATGTACGAATACGAATAATTCAAATTATGTAAATATAAGGCGAATATATTTAACAGCTTTACATATACATACATATAAAATACATAAACATATACCTGTCATTTATATTCCATACCATAGCATAATTATACAGCTTGTGAGCTATTGATTCATGATAAGAATAGTTTCATGTTATGTGTAACATGAAACTATTCTTATCATGAAACTATATCTTGTTTCAAAAGGTGTTCACGAATTAATTAATTAATTATAAACGAATTATTTATTAGCGAAAGAAAAAGTATTTTATTTTGTAAATTGGTTTCCTTGTCAAAGAAATCCAGTGAGGTAATGGAGTAATGAGATTTAAGTTAATATTTCCACGTAGGAAGTACGAAATTACACAACGAAGCTTTATTTCCTTACCGTCGTACTTATGATTAAATAAAAATTATTGAGATTTTAATAAATAAAAAACCAACCATAAAAATATTTCCACATAATATTTTCTGAACACGGTGCTAAGACAGGTGTATCTGTCGTAGTCCAATCGTAAAATATGGTAGATTGTAATCTACGTGGGCATTTCTTGATACGCCGCTATTTCACGGTTTGGCCGAGAAAATTTATACTCCATGGCAGTTTGTGCCTAATTTATATAATATACAGTACGTAAAAAAACAACCCGGTGAAGCTTTTATGAACATATAAATAAGTACCTAAGACATTTATGAAATATGACAATCTGTGAAAATTTTTTTTGGTCTTTATTAAAAGAATTTTAGTATTCACGATAGGTACGAGGGTGGATTGAAAAGTACTCGGCCTAACCAAGAAAATAAACACATACTAAATCAATACACTTTTGCCACCTCCCCTTCCAAGCATTTAGACGGTTGAAAAAAAATGATTCTTCCTTAGAGTCAAAATATGCGTCTACAGCTGCTTTGACCTCGTCTTTTGTCGAAAATCTTTGACCTCCCAAGTGCTTTTTTAGGTTAGGGAACAGAAAGAAGTCTGATGGTACCAGATCAGGTGAATACGGCGGATGCGGTAACAGTTCAAAGCCACAGTTGTGAATTTCAGCCATTGACTATACTGACGTGTGAACACGGGCGTTATCTTGATGAAACAGGACTTTTCTTCTGAGCATTCCTCGACGTTTTTCTTTTATTTCCTCTCGTAAACGACGTAGTAAGGTGCAGTAGTAATCAGAGTTTATAGTCTGACCCCTTTCAAGATAATCAATCATAATCACACCTTTCGAGTCCCAGAATACTGAAGCCATCACCTTATTTGCCGACAAAATCGACTTAGCCTTTTTAGGGGTGGTGAACCAGGTCTTCTCCACTGTTTTGATTGTTGTTTTGTTTCCGGTGTACAGTAATGAACCCATGTTTCGTCCATAGTAACAAAACGATTCAAAAAATCATCTGCATCGGCTTCAAATAACTCCAAACAGTCGCGTGAAATAGTCAATCGCGTCCTTTTTTGTTCAACTGAAAGCAGTCGCGGAACCCACCTCGCAGACACCTTGTGGAAACCCAACTCGTTGACAATGATGTTTTGAGTTCGTTCATAAGAGATGCCTATAATCTCGGCTATCTCTCTAATTTTTAATCTGCGGTCTCCCATTATTAAATCAAGTACTTTTTTAATATTTTCGTCAGTAGTTGACGTCGAAGGCCTTCCAGAGCGGGGTTCATCTTTCACACTCTCTCTACCACGCTTAAATTCTGCTATCCATTTTTTGACGGATGAATATGACAGAGCACAATTGCCTAATGTACTGACCATGTCATCATAGATGGCTTTTGATGATAGCCCCTTCTTATGGAGGTACTTAATGACGGCACGCTGCTCGATTTGCTCTATTCGCGGAAATTATGTCCGATTACTTTGTTAATAAATTTATAAAATCACAACTAATTATCGCACACGTTTCGAACTTCACATAATGAACTAGTCTGAACTGAACTAAATACTGTGGGTAGATTTGATTTTTAGAATTGAATGGATCTGTGTTAGGCCGAGTACTTTTCAATCCACCCTCGTAACTTCCTAATTTAGTTTTTATTAATATTGTATTAGCTTCAATGTTATATAAATTAATGTTCTTATTTCTCATTGTAACAATACTTTGTGTATACATAAATTGTTAAAAAATGAAATAAAAAGAGAAATAATAACATATAAATAATATCATCATCATCATATAAATAACTCAGATGAGCCGTGGCAGAGCGGAAGGTGAGCATGCCGTTTCACAAATTTCTCAATACGCGAATACCTTCAGCTAAGCCAGCAACACATAAATTGTTAGTCGCAATTTCTAGTACTGATTTATCACTTGCTGAGCGGTAGAGAAAACTAGATAAATCCTTAGAAGGTAAAACCGGTTCCATTTTTCACTGCGGTTTTGGAAAGGAGATGGCCAAAATGTGCCCCAAGCTCTACAAAAATAAGACTATTTCTATTAATTTAAATAAATCAAAAAAAGAATTTTGAACAACTATTAACATTTCATAGCAGCGGTTGAAAAATAATCAAGTTTAAAAGTATTTAAAGTGATTTCTTCTCTTTGAAGACAATCTATAGCACCACCTTTAATATGGCCATATTATACTTAAAAAGATCAGAGCAGGGAAAAAACAATAGCTAAACTCATAAAGATATTTTATTTATGATATTTATTATGTATAATAACAAGCCTTTAAGTAATAATTTTATTTTATTAATAACTTTACATTATAGGATAGGGTTATTTTACTTTAGTACTTGCAACACTGAATCCGTCCGACAAGCATCAAAACAGTCAAAGTATCAATATCAGACTTGATCTGTGCCCTGTTTATCAAAATTTACAAGCCTTGTATTACAAGCATTATTCCTGTTAACAAATTAATTATTACAAATATGTGTTTATCAAAACTGCACGTGTAAATTACAAGTTACAAAGGTCATTATTTATTTCACAAGTATATTTTTACACGTGTATTCATGATTTTGTTTATCAAAAATCCCTTGTAAGTTACAATTTGTAGAAAATCATAGCAAATCCAAAGAGTGTCCAGCGAGTCTCCATTCCGTCTTACAAGTGTTTTAAGTAGTACTGTAATATTTTTTTAACTTGATTGTCCTTTTTAAAATGTAGTCAAGTGACTCAAGCGATGATGAAATTATCAGAATAATGGAACCAAGAACATATAGAACAAGAATTGACTAAGGCCATATGGAGACGACCTATGAATTTAATGGAAGGTTTCGACTTAAAGAACTTTTTGTCGCGAATCAGTTGTAAAATCGTTATTTTATTATCATTTCTAGACATTTTACAAGAAATCGCAAAATATCGCCGCGAATACACTTCAAATTATATATAAAAGGTGGAACCTTTGTACAAACTTACGATAAGACTGCTTCTGTATCTTGATGTGTGTACATAAATAAATTTAAAAAAATACTTTGTCGCTACTACGTGTGCTACTACTATTTTAATGTCTCATCAAAATCAGGCACAGACGATATACCATACAGCCATGCGTTTAAATAAGGATATTCAATAAAAAGCATAAACATAATGGCGGGAAAAGAATACGGCACAAATTTAAAAAAATTGATTTTAGAACTTACAAGTAGAACCTACAAGTGTTAAATTTTACAAGCCCTGTAGATTTTTTTTTGATAAACGTAATTTACTCGAACTTGTAAAAAATTTCTTGTACAGTGTAACTTGTGAACAAGTAGACTTGTAAGTTTTGATAAACAGGGCACTGATCTGATTCACGTTTACCGACTTACGCACCGTTTCTCGGTATATGTACGCTTTTCCTTCGTATTTGTGTTTTATCGTATTTTACTCTTATTTAATAAGTGCCGTGGCTCCACGTCAGTGATCCATCAATTATAAACGGTGTAATAGATAAGTTTAATAAGGAAAATGGACCTTTTACAAGCGTATGTTAACTGTGCTATCACTGTTAGAGAACGCAACAGACGGCATGTAATATCATATTTACCTCCTGATATGGCTGTTCTTTTATCGGAGTGATTAACTTTTGAGGTAAGCACTTGTTTCGCTAAGTAAAATATTTATGAACTATTATTTACTTACCTACAACATTTACCAGAAGAATCAGATTGAGATAGTATTTACCTTATTTTTATTAAGACTAATTATTATAAAATAATTTTAATTAAGACTATTTCAACGGCTTAGAATCTTAGATTAATAAGTACTTTGTTTTTCCTTAACAGTTGTCACCGCATAGCTGCGCCTGCGGTGCCTGCTACACGCTACACGTTAACAAGATGCCTTGCAACAAATTCAAGGGAAAGACAACTTGGTCACAATAATGTTTGCTACGGCTATGGTAGACCTGTTGCACATGCAAGAAAACAAAGCATTCCAGAATTTAGTTCTCTCTATAACCATGTGGGTAATTATTTTAAATTTTTCAGTTTAGAGATTGACATTACCCCCATATGGGGTGATGTCAATCTCTAAACTGAAATATTTATAATAGTGATGTACTGTTAACTAAAACTAACTTATCAAAATAATCAATCTGCATTAAAGCTTTCTTAAATACATATACCGTAACATTCATCTTTAATTTGAGTTTTAAACAGCTTGTCTTATAAATGAAAGTGAAAAACGTGGTAAAGTTTTATATTTTTTAAGGTTATAGCGGCCAACTTTTTGTGTCATGGTTGTTATGTGAGAGCTAACAGAGAACTGACCGAAGAAATATAGTTGATTCTAATAGATTTGAAAACATAGGAGGAAACCAAGCCGTTCAAGAAATTCAGGTACCAAATCCCCCACCTGTCCCCCCTGGACCAGCAGTAAGTAACATTCAAGATGTATCAATAATTGTCCTGCCGAATTTTAGACGTAGTACTAATACATCTAGAAGATATGTATTTGATGGCTGTTAGCATAGTGCAGGTCATTTAGTGCCTACCTTAATTAAATCAGCATTGTTCTTGCATAGTAAATTTTATGTGCCTCAAAGTGCCAGGGTTTGTAAAGAACATTTACAATCCATGAATGGGAGTTATTAGCGAACATAATTTTAACTAATAATTGTTAGATAATAAAATTGAGGAAAATGTTATTGATTTTGAAAACATGGAATCAATTCCTAATAATTTATATCACTATCGGATAGGGCGCACTAAACAGGAATTCATAGAATTGCATAATGGTATACCAATACAGTCTGTTGTTCCCAAAAATTCAAAAACCGCATTAGCAATGCTTTTAATCAAACATAGGACTGGTGACAGCGATACTAGAATATCTAGTTTTTTTTTGTCTTATTTGTGATTAAATGCAGAAAATAATGCGATTGAAAGCGAGAGAAAGCCTTGTATACTTCTCCCATAAATCCTAGATTCTACAAGCGGTACATAGACGACACTTTCACAATTCATCTTTTATCCTTTCGAAAAAGTAACTGCATTTTTAGACCATCTTAACTTTCTAAATTCTAAAATTCAGTTCACAATGGAGTTAGAGGCAAACAATTCTTTAGCTTTTCTCGACGTGTTAGTAATTCGGAATCCTGATAGCACCTTGAGCCACACTGTGTATATAAAAAGACGCATACAGATCGATATTTAAACGGTGATTCTCACCACCATCCTTCACAGTTAGCTACCGTGGGTAAATCTTTGTTTCAGAAAGCACGAGGGATCTGTGACGGTAAACACCTAGCTGCTAAGCTCCAACATGTCAAGCAAGTGTTTCATGACAACAAGCTTCGGGTCCCGCGCCGAGGTCACAGTGAACGAGTGATGCCGGCCACAGTCGAGCGTGTACCTGCTGTACTGCTATATGTCAGAGGAGTCACTGACGAGATTGTCTACATATTAATGGTTTAAAGTGCTATGGGTGGGTGTGGTCGCATGCGACCGCTCGGGATTTAATAAGATGCATGCCATAAAAACTTATATTTAGAAACTACTTTTCTGTAAAGAAGTTTGGCATTATAAAATCTATATAAAATTTTCTATTTTATAATTTAAACAAAAGTCAGTTATTCAATGGATTAATCATTACAAAAATATTTTATTGTATTTTGATAACAACATACAAAGCGGATGTCGGTAGCATGAAAATTACTTTTGTTTCTATATATTACTCGAAAATATTTACGTAAAAAGATTAATTATATTCACACAAAAACTTTCATAACAATTTTATAATACAAAAAACCGTTCTTAACTTAAAAAATCCAAAAATCATAGCAACAATGTACAACAACGAACACTCGACAATGATGCACTTTGAATGTAGATTATGAAGGAATATCTATAGACTACCTGAATTTTTATTCAACTAGAGGATAGAAAATTTTATATTGATTCTATAATGTCAAACTTCTTCACATAAAAGAAGTCTTTAAAATATAAGTTTTTGTGGGTTATAATGCCGTGGGTGGGTGCGGTCTCATGAGACCGCTAGGGATTTGACGGAATATGGCCGCGGTCTCATGAGGCCGCTAGGGGTTTGAGCGGTTAAAGTCGGCAAAGCAAAACCCATAAAGACAACGTAGTGGACTTTTTTATACTCCAAAAGTCTATCAAGAATATCAATACCCTCGAGACTGACATTTTATTACGGCGGCCTGTCACAACTACCAGACTGCCGGAACGGAACCGGAACTACGGGACTACAGTTCACGAGAATGCACACGGGAGAGTCGACAAGCGACGTTCTAGACGAAAGTTTATTGACTAAATCGATGATATATTGAAGACGAGCCAGAATAAAAGTATACTTAACCGACGAGAATGTATGCGTAGATATATGGATGTAAAAAAGGCGAGAGATGGGTGTCAGGTTCATGCCAAATGGAAGTCCGTAGTCTCTGTGTAGACAGAAGAAGGTTACTCGTAGGAGTAACCTTCTTTGTGACAGCTGTGTTTATATTTATGTCTATCGAATCTTCGCTAGTATCTCCAATATCTATTATTCAATACACACGCGCACGTACACACGCACTCACGCACATATACAGACATACGGACATCATCACAAAAATAGCCAGAATAGTTTCTTAGGACCTCGAAACTTTGAGATCTTATGAGAACTCGATTTTTAAAAAACTGGGTGAAAACAATAGCTTCCCCATTGTTTTAAACATTGGTTGTCAATGCAGGAAGTTAAATATCATTAACTTAATTCTATGCAAACATATATGTTATGGAAGCGATTTAATAAAAATCGTGGTAATAAAAAATAACTTGAATGAAAGTCTTATTTCACTAAAAAAACTTGGAAAATTGTAATACACTGAAAAGATTAAGAACAATAAAAACTCGATCAAAGCCGCAAAAAGAATGATAAAACAAATAAAACTGAAATTATTTTGCGAGAAATAATAAAATCTAAATTAACCATTATACAAAGACCTTCTAAAAGTTCCAAATAAGAAAAAACGCTTAAAGAAGGTTGTAAGTTATTAAAAAATATGTTTCTTGATGACTGGTCTTTGTTTGCGCGACCTTAGGGTTTTATAAAGAACGAATATACAATGTATCAAAAGTTAATCCACAAATACCGTAACTTAATCTTTTGTGAACAAAGTACTTATACTAGAGATAATTACTTACCATGTGGTCATCATATCTAGTATGAGAACTCGCTACACTGCATACAACAGTACGAGTTTGCTTCTCTAGGAACCTTTCTTCCTCATCGGTTATCAATTTATGTGACGATTCTTACCTATCTTTATAAAGACTTCAGCAATGAGGGCATCCACGTCTTTTTCTGCCACCAGGACGGCGCTACTTTGAAATAAGATGTAATATTCAACAGATTTCATGGTGCAAGACGTTAATTTGTTAGAATTTAATCAGTTTGTTTCGGAAATACTAACTTCTTAATATGTAATGATTAATTCTTACATTCACTACACGAGTAATTCTTACATCGCCAATAAACTGAAAATCCCGTTACTATACGAAGTACGCTCATTTTATTTAGTCACTGCAGCTTACATATTCCAATAATTTCACATCTTAACCAAGCAATAAAGCTTTATTCAACCGCGATAGAGGGACGTGACTTTTATCTCGATATATTTAATGGTTCCCGGGCCATTCGGTTAATGATAAAATATATTGTCCGCGATCTATGAACACAAGGAGAAACCGTTTTACTAAAGTGTATTTGAAAGATGTCTTGTTTATTTTTATATATCAATGACATTACGATATGGATATCTTACTCAAACATCGACGTTTTAAGGCTCGTGAATTATTTTCATTATGAATCACTGTAACTTAATCTTATAATAATAACGTCATTCAGACTTAATTCATGTCACGGCAGCCAGCCTTAACAGAGAGTCATCTGTGTAGGTCAGGCTTACAGGCGCAATTTGCTCACTCTCATAGTTCGATAGGACGGCCGCCCGACACGACAGGAACAAGATCAGGCGCAGGACCGACGGCTTTGCGTAGCTTCCGAGACACGCTGGCGAAACACCACCAACTGCTTGACTCGGAGCTGGTACTGAGGATTTCTCGAAATAAAAACCCTATGAATGATTTTGACCCAACGCTTACAGCATTTTAAAGTCCACTTGTGAACATCCCTCATGGGTTGCCTCACAGGAGGGACATTTTCCATAGTTGCCATGCTTGGCAAGCGGGTTGGCAATCGCAGTTTTTTTAGTCGTTATTGGTAAGACGCTGCTGCTTATATTCAAATTTTTTTCTTTCTGTCGCCTCTTACGACACCCACGTGATGATACGGGGTTGTGGATATTCTTACACCGCCACTTCACGATAAAAATCACACTTACGAGCAATAAACTAACTCGTGCTCTTAGTAGTTCATCATTTTTAACATATCGAGGCTTCAAAAAATTTTAAGAATGACTTTTAACGATGTTAGACTACCAAACCGAAGGGAGAGGGAGAAATTAAGGAATGCGATGTCTGTACACACTCTCCGGAAAGTATCCTTTTTAACACCGAGAAGCTATTCTTCCTGATAACAAACTCAACAAAATTACTATCTCCTCCTCCCAAGGAGGCAACCTACAGTTAGGGCTTATTTATGTCACTTCAGTCTTTTATAAGCCGTAATAATGACAATAAATTAAAATGCACTACTAATGTAACACAGTTTGTCGTAAAGATAATCATGATAGTTTCACCCAGCTACAACAAAAAATTCTATAACAGTCACAATTTCAGAAAGGAAATAGTTTTCGTATTTACAAATAAAAGAATGTTCTTCGGAAAAGCGTAGCTTCGTAAAATTTATAAGAGAATTGAAAGCAGTCGCCTGGGAGAATCCACATATGCACTAGATTTAAATGCATTTAGGTCTGTAAAACTGTTTGTCGTTACATAACGTGCTTTTTAAAACTTCCCGGAGGTGTCCCTTTAATAATAATAATAATAATAATAATAATAATGAGCTGGAGCCATCTATTACTGTCACCGAGCAAAACCTGGCAGACCGAGTTCGGTATATCTTACGCTCAAATATATTTGATGGCGCCGAACTCGAACGGCTACGACGTGAGGCTGTTCCCTCATCAAATGAAAACGCTACGACTGAGGGTGCGGTGCCACAAGTTGCAGAACAACCCGCACACGTGGATGCCGCCGAGAATACCCCAGTGGTTGCTGATTCAAATGATGATGGAACATTCACCCAGGAACTAGAAATAGAGCAAATGAGGAGTACATTGGAAGAGGCGATTATGGAAACGCGCAGTACGCCTCTCGAAAATCGACCGCGACTTCCCCGCATAGCCCTAAGCAAGCGGAATCGGGCTGTCGTGAGGGCTCTGAACCCAATGCTGGTGACCTATTTAGAAGCCAGCCGGGAACTTTGCGAGACGGACTCAATTCTCTTTGGCGCCGCACTGGCAGTCTGCCGTATTATAGGCGCCAAACTTTCCACGGCGGGACGCACTACTGGACAAAGTAGTGCTATCCCAGCCTGGAGAACAAGAATTGAAGAACGTATCGCAAAGGCTAGGGCCGTCATCGGCAGACTGATATGCTTCAGCTCAGGCAATACCAGGCCAAGGATTGTGCGCACCGTCAGGATGGCGTTTGCTGGGACAAATGTTAGTTTGTCCCAGCCGGATATAATGCAAAAACTGACGGAGCGCATAGACGACCTGAAGCAGAGAATCGCTGCTTGGGGAAAGCGAATTCGGCGATATACCGAGAGGTCGACACGGTTCAACCAGAATCGTCTCTTCCAGAGTGATCAGAAGAGGCTCTATAAATCATTGGAGCGACCAATGGTAAGTGGAACGGGCCCAGTACCGAATCAGGCCGACACGGTCGCATTCTGGCGCAGCCTGTGGTCAGAGCCCGTAAACCACAACGAGGGCCCTTGGACGGAAGTTGTGGCGAGTCAGTGTGCGGGTATTACGCCCATGGACCCCGTCACCATAACGCCGGATGACGTAGCTGAGGCGGTCCGTAGGGCCCCCGAACTGGAAAAGTCCGGGACTCGACGGGCTGCATCACTACTGGCTGAAGGGGTTCGTGGTGTGTCACACTGTGCTCGCCCGACAGTTTCAAGAGGTTCTCAACCAGAAGTCGCTCCCGAGCCTCTTCACTACTGGGATCACCCATTTGGTTCCTAAAGGCCAGAGTACCACAGACCCGAGCAAATACCGCCCCATCACATGTCTACCGACCATATATAAGACACTAACATCCATTTTGAGCGCGAGAATCACTCGTCACCTGGACTCAAATCAGGTGATGTCGCGCGCTCAAAATGGATGTCGGGGCGGCGGTCGTGGAACCAAGGAACCACTCCTCATTGACGCGGTCATTGGCAAAGTGGTGAAACGCAACCGTCGGAACTTCTCCGCCGCCTGGATAGACTACAGAAAGGCATTCGACTCGGTGCCCCATACATGGCTAAAGAGAGTCCTCGAACTGTACAAGATAGACTGTACAGTTAGAGACTTCCTCGAGCAGTGTATGGGGCAGTGGAGTACGATCCTTTGTCATCTGGGCGAGCGGATGATGGCTGCGGAGAACCACATAAGGATAAGAAGGGGTATCTTCCAGGCCGATTCTCTGATTCCAATATGGTTCTGCCTCTCTCTGAACCCTCTCAGTACCTTACTGGAGGGCTCCGGGAGGGGATTTCAGCTACGGAAAGGAGGGACAAAAGTGACCCACCTTTTCTATATGGATGACCTCAAGTTATTCGCCTCCAGTCGCTCCCATCTTATGGAACTGCTAAACATCACTTGTGAATTTAGCAATTCCATTGGAATGGAGCTGGGGACGGATAAGTGTGCGGTCCTCCATGTTGAGAGGGGTAGGGTTGCTAACTCTGAGGGCATAGACTTATCTATGCCCGTCAACTTAAGGACCCTTTCCGAGGCTGAAACATACCGATACCTGGGTATGTCACAGAACATTGGTATCGATGAGGCTGGTATGAAACAGTCAGTTTGCGACGTGTTTTATGCACGCTTGACCAAAGTGCTTAACAGCCTTTTGTCCGGTGTGAATAAGACACAAGCATATAACGGCTGGGTCATACCTGTCCTCATGTATACCTTTGGCATACTCAGGTGGACTCAGACTGAACTTAACGCCCTGGATAGAAAAGTCCGCACTACCATGACGTCCCACAGGATGCATCATCCGAGATCGTCGGTAATGAGGCTGTACTTGCCGCGAAAGCATGGTGGGCGTGGCTTTTTGAGCGCGCTCACCATGCATAATCGCGAAGTGTGCAGCCTCCGTAATTACTTCCTGGCGAGATCGGATGATCCATTCTATAAGGACGTCATTTCTTGTGATAAAGGACTTACCCCTCTATCCTTAGCCAACGAGCAATGGCAAGACCCGGCAGTGCAGACAATTTCCGACCGGGAGACCGTATGGAAGGAGAAGGAGCTCCACGGGAGGTTCTACAAGTCTCTACATGGGCCTTTCGTAGACACAGTAACCTCTCTCCACTGGCTACGCTTTGGTGACCTCTTCGGGGAAACCGAGGGTTTTGTCTGTGCAATACAGGATCAGGTTATTAAGACCAACAACTATCGGAGATACATCCTAAAGGATGGCACCATCGACATCTGTCGAGCTTGTCGCCATCCCGGTGAGTCACTTAGGCATGTCATCTCCGGTTGTTCGGCGCTTTCTAACTCTGAGTACTTGCACAGGCACAACCTAGTAGCCAGAATTCTATACCAGGAGCTCGCTCTGAAATACGGTTTCGTGGATCGGAAGTTGCCGTATTACAAGTACTTGCCGGAAGCCGTGCTCGAAAATGATCGCGCCAGGCTCTATTGGGACCGGGCCATCATCACAGACAGGACTATTCTTGCGAATAAGCCTGATATTGTGCTGATGGACCGGGCACAGTCAAGGATATTTTTGGTCGACATTACCATTCCGTGTGACGAGAACCTCGTGAAAGCCGAAACAGATAAGCAAACAAAATATCTGGACCTGGCTCACGAGGTGACCGACATGTGGGGTGGTCTGCCGACCGAAATTATTCCTGTAGTCGTCTCTGCAAACGGGCTAATCCCAGTCAGCCTCTCGGGTCATCTGAGGCGGCTGGGACTACGTGGCGGACCGCTCCAGGCTCAAATGCAGAAGGCGGTGCTCCTCGATACCGCCCGCATCGTCCGCCGGTTTCTTTCCCTTTCCCCCTAACCCTCGGCCGTTTGGTCTCCCCTGCCGAGGGCTTCCATCTGGTTGGGCTTTTATTTATTTATGTATTTTCATATTTATTTTATTTTATTGATATTTTTGTATGTTTATCTTTTCATTTTCGTTTATAATTATATATTTATACATCCCAACCAGATGAGAAAACTATATAGATACCCCACAATAATAATACTTTATTTTCAGACTTTGTCCATAAAGATGTTAGTAGAACAATAACTACTTAAAACTAATGTTAGTATTTAATTTTTTTTTTTTTTTTTTACACTTAACAAATTAAATATCCTTCTACGTTACAAATATCTTATTTATTCAATTTTATATGTAGGCTCAACCAGTGTTTCATAATGGCAGAATCCCACCTATCAGCAAGTGTATTCAGGATGCTGTTGGTAGAGGTACGTAGTCGATTCATTAATGAAGCGGACCTTTTACGTATTATGGCATGAAAGCCATCCGTGTGTGCCTCGACGAACATGGCAGAGGCACTACAATAACGCGGCAATCCTAACAGCACCCTGAACGCATTATTGTATTGTACACGCAGGACATTGTATGTCCGCTGCTTGTATCTGACCCACAAGTTGCCTGTGTAAAAGCACTGACAATAAGCTTTAAAAAGCGTAACTTTAACTTCTTTAGTACATCGTGCAAACCTGCGGGCCAGCATATTACAGCGAACAGCCAACGCCCTGCGTTCCCTTTCTATATCCAAGTCATCCTCTAAGTCCTCTGTTACCCAGTGACCTAAGTACTTAAATTTGACGACTCTGTTCAAAGGACTATCACAGAGTTTAACAGTAGGCATGGTGAGCTGCCTTTTAGTGCCTGAATTAAAAAGCATTTTCTTCAAGGTTTTGTTAATAATTTTTGTATTAAACTTGGCATAATATTTAATGTAGAACTTAACAGAAGGGCTTAGTTATTTATCCTTTTCTCCCTTTTAATCAATAATACGAGTGTATTTGCTGTAGAATAGAATTTAATAGATTCACAGTGGTATTGGCCACGTGGCAGCTTTTGCAGTTTCACATATGGGCCGATTCGAACTAGGATACTATCACGACCTTACGGAATATCAGCGTGAAGTAGAAACTCTGCTTCTGTGTTTCATCTGATGAGTGCAGGTGGCTGAAGGCCTAATTCCGCCTCCAACTTATCAATATGGAAGCGGTGAAAAAAAAGATGCAATCCCAGCACCCTTAATAATGGAGAACCCCTCGCTACGTATCCACGATCACGATTTTAATTAAGGTATACCTGACGAGAAGATGTGTCGTATATTCCCAAACGCTGCCCAGCCGAGTGGAATCCGTCGACTGACCTCTCGGGCGAAGTTGGACTTACCTAGTCGGACTATTTGTCCCAGGTAAACGTACTCGTCAACAACTTCTAGCACTAGCACAGTGAACCCAACAACTACCGGCATAGCTGTGACATGGACATTAAACATGATCTTGGTTTTGTCCATGTTCATCTTAAGACCTATCCGTTGGGAGACACCATTGAGGTCATTGAGCATAGTGCTTAGGTCCCACAGCGATTCCGCCATAAGGACTATATCGTCGGTAAATCGAAGGTGAGTGATGTACATTGATATACGTACCGTATTTTGTCCAGTCAAGTAGCTTGAAAACGTCTTCAAATGCTCGGTGAAGAGTTTCAGGGATATAACGCCACCCTGTCTTACACCTCTCTGAGGTTGGATAGCTTTCGTACTCTGGTTCTGTAATCGGATACCCACCGTAGCCCTACTGTATAAACACTTCAGCACCTCGATATACTGACAGTCAACTTGGTACCGCTGAAGGGACTGTACCAAAGAGTACAATCTGCCGCAGGGTATGTATGTGGTCTATGGTATTGAAGCCTTTTCGGAAAGCGGCTTGTTCGGGAGGCTGGAAGTCGTCGAGTATGCGTGAGATACGATTCGTAATGAATCTCGTAAACAGCACGTAGACGAGGCTCAAAAGAGAAATCGGTCCGTAGTTCTTCAAGAGAACGTTGTCACTTTTCTTAAAGACAAGAACTTCTCTCTAGCCTCCGAGTAGTGCCACCATGTAGGACGGAATCGAAGAGCTTCTATGTACCGGTGTTCCACTCGCTTTCAGAAGATCCGCTGTAATTCCATCCTCGCCTTTCTCTCTCTCGCCATTCTAATCTTGCTCAGACTAACGTCCGGAATATCATCGGAATAGTGTCAGATAAGACTTTTTCTTGGATCGTTACTCACACCTGCGTGTGGATGATGTGTACAGCTGCCCATAGAACCTCCCAATCTCACTTAAAATCTCAGGTGTCCTGAAAACGATGCTGCCACACTCAGTCTTCAGCTTTCACAGTTGGCTCTTTCTGGCAGACAGATCTCAGGCAAAGACTTTGGAGCCCTCGTTCCTTTCGATTCTTCAATACGAGCAGTATTAAAGTTGCGTAAGTCTCGCCGAATTTGGAGATCTGTCTGTTGTCAGTTGCCTGTACGCTGTCAAATCTGCTGACTATTGCAGCCTCATCTCCCGTATTACAGCTATGAAATTAAGAGTGTGATCGGAGAGTTTTTGTGTTGTTATGCGGCGGGTCTTGCGGAACTTAGCTCCGACCGCATGGACAGTTTCCACGAACTTGTCATTCATATCGTCCACTGTATTGCAATCTTCTAGGCACTGAAAGAGGTTTTGTAACTCGAGCTTAAACTTTTAAGCTCCCGAAACTTTCGGGATTCTGGATTAGAGCACGAGGGGGACGGAGCGTTGACTTCATTAGACGAGATCTCTCCAACTTAACGTTTAGGTTCAGTGTGCCTCTAACCATTCGGTGACGGCTGCCAGATATCACTGAACAGTTGCCATCTAATCGTCATAATGAAGTCAACCTATTATTTTTCGAACCGTCGGGGCTCGAGCAGATCCACTTTTTGTGAATCTCTCTTTTTCCATGAAGT